TTGAAACGCACGGTTTTATGTTTCTCGGAGAGAAAAATTTATGAGGAACAGGAGGGTCTTGAGATTAAAATTCTCTGAAAGAGGAAACTTCGTGTCGCAAAGAGTATTACATATTATTCACATAAGAGTATTCCTTGTTCCTTTATTGTTAGAAATATTAAGAACACAGAAAGAGATATTTAGGAGTAAGATATGGTCGTTCAAAGTCCTCGAAAATATGAAAATCGTAAGCTGGCCAGATGGATGTTGTCTAAAGTCTGTCGTAAAATAAAATGAAATAAATATGCGACATCGAAACGGAAGTCATGCGCGAAGCAAAGAGTAGATCGCTCAGGGAGTTGAAAGAATCTTGCAGACGAAAGCATTCGTAAGAAAAATTAGCAGAGAGGAGCACTTTGAAGGTGCAATTAGAATTAAAATATGTTTCTTGCTTCGCGTATTTAAAATTCTCAAAGAGCCTATGTACATAAGTATCTTGTAACGTGACGGCAATTATATTTTAAGAGACTCGTTAACATCTTGGGCACTGAGGGAATTGCAAATTCGCAATTTTTCGGATCTTGAAAGCTGCCGCTTTTCGTTTATAACGATGTAAACGAGTGATTAGTAGAAGATATCTTTAAAGAAGTAATTTTTCGACGACATATATTTGTCGCAAATATATATATGAATGTCGTTATATTTCATACACAAATATAATATATATATTTTCATAGTAGTCATTTTACAGCGAAACGAGATCTAAAAATTACAAATTAATTAAAAAAAAAATTGGAACGTAAAGTCGAGAGTCACTGTTTATAAATGTTAGAACTTTTTATTGAGTAAAAAAAAAAAAAAATTCTTATTCCTTCAGTCCTTTGGTTTCTTTACAAAATGGAGATGAACGTGTTCATTTAAAAATTCGGGCATGTTCATCAATCCGGAAATCTCGTCGTGCCTAAATACAAAACGAAAGGTTTGAAAGCTTTTGGAACAAAGTCCAGAGTTCTCAGTCAATCGGCTGAAGTGGTTTAAAATATACGAAGACGAATCTTCGATATGATTACAAACACGAATCGCAGTTGCACTGACGACGGTCGAATCCTCGTAAAATGCGATCTGAAGAGCGGACCACACTCGTCTACGATACTCGTCGCGAATATGGCGAGGGATATCTTCTACAAAGAGCGCGTGGAGTTAATGAGACGGAAGAACGAGCGGGGCACGATATTGCAAGTTTGAGAAATGGCCTCATAAAGGCGTTACAGCGCCGCTGAAATTCGAGGCGAAGCCCGGGCAAGGATTGAAACGTTCACAAGAAACCCACTGTCACCGAGCTTCCGAGACGTACCCGTTCGCGAGCTTTACGCTCGCGTATTAAAAGAAGCATAACGGGCAATAGCCGAGGATTTCGAAGCATTGATTTCTCGATTTTAATCGTCGTGACGATGATCCGTAGTGAAACGTGACGTAGAGAAACTGCTGCAGAATTTGAAAACTTCGACAGGTTTGAGAAGCTACGACACAGAGGATGAGAGTTTAGGGTTTGTATCGTGGACTAGGAAGTGTAATTTCATCAGCCACATGCGAGAATTTAAATTTGGAAATTTAATTAAATTTGAAAGGTTATGATTGTTTGTTTGTGTTTGAATATAGAGCACTCGAAGTACTACAATAGTATAATGGTATAAATACGAAGCACAAGGTACTGAAATAAAATAGTAAATTATATTTACAAAAATATGAGCTTATAGTGCATAAAAATCAGCAATATATTCTTGAAACGTCATAATATTATAGTTTCTTTCCCAAGCTTTCCCATCCTTTTGTTCATTTCTTCGTAATTAAAAATCGAGAAATATTTCCTCGGAGACTCGATAATTTGAATTCAAATAAAATTTCAATTCCAATTTCATCCCTGGACACTATTTCTCAATGATCTTCCTGACCATTCCCTTTCTCAACCCGACGATCCTCGTCTATTCTCGAAAATACGAACTCATTGTCAGAGCCCTAAAGAGCGATGCGTCTCGATCGCAGTTGTACAGAAACGGAGCAACAACTCCGCGTCACGGGTAATTTATTCCCCGACGTTGGCGCGATTAGACCTTTCCCGGCTGCAATGAAATTTACTTTTCTCCCGCATGAACGAAATTACCGGCTCGAAACGAACGATGGCTGGCTTCCAGCGGCCACGTTTCACCGCAACTTCGCCGGCGTTCTGCGAGTTAGCGAGATATCGGGGCTGGATGCTTCTCGAAGAGAGTCGTGTTCGAATTATCGGGGCCTGCCGTTGCCACGATCTCGATCCATCGGATCTCTCTCGTCCTACATGGCCGAAAACCGTGGGGGAAATTTCGCGCGTCTGCCCGTCCCTTTCATGTGGTCCGCGTGCAGAATTCCGCAAGCAATCAGAAATTTTCCTTGCATCTCGTGCTCGCCGGCGCTCAATTAGAAGGAAGTTTATTATCGTGGAAGTTATACACGCGGTTCAGAGGTGTTTGATACAGTTCGCGGAGGTATGTTTTCGCTTGCTTTTACAATACCAGGCGGAATTTTGGGACGTGTGTTGATGTGTTGTTGTGCAGATGCCACGCGTCTAATTTGGAAATTGCGGAAATTAATTATAGAATGTGGAAATTAGTCGGTAAACTTTCGTGTGAAAATTTAAGGATCGATGTGGAAACGTTGACTCTGTTATTCTTTCTGGAAACGTATCCTTTCAGTTCAGAAGAGATCTTTTACTGATACTATTTGTTATTATATTTGCTATTGTTTTCATCACACGTCATTCTGAAGCGCTACTTCTATATTTTGTTTACACGCTGCAATACGATAAAATATTGACGGGAACGTGTTAAATCCTCCATTCGACACTGTCGAATGGAGAAAGAATTACGATTGGTAATTATTGCCGTGTTTGGGTGATTGATCACAACGTTTGACGAAACGGGGAAATTGACGTTCCAAATATTTCGCTCGGAATGGATAGAGAAATGGGGATGTTTGTAGTACGATAATGGATGACTGTTTATTGTCACATGTTGAAAATGATTTTTATTATTTATGCATACTGAGACGTACAAACGATAAAAAAAAATATATATATATACACAAATTATAAAAAAAAGCATATTTGTCACGAATTGACAAAATTCATAAAAAAATTTCTACCATCACATATCATTAACATAGAACGATCAAAAATGTCACAAAATGTCAGATTCGTATTATTATCTACAAAGTATGCAAATGTTTTCATCATTACATCCACGACGTCTAGCTAACGAGTTTTCTCCTTTTCTTTTTCATGCTTCCCCACTTTGGACTGCGGCATTTTATTGGTCATTCACAACGATTTTGGTGACGGCTACGGTTGCAACAACGACACTGTAACAATCCGCATGGCAACAACAACGACACGCTGATTAACTCTGGTGATGGTGACCACGGTAACAACGCGGTGTGTCGTACCGATGGTGACCACAATGCCTGGTACACCGTGGTGACGGTGACAACAATGACACGTTAATAAATCATGGGGATGGCGACCACATTGGCATGCTAACAAACCGCGTTCACGGCGACCGTACTGATACACTAACATTTTGTTGGACACCTTGTTGGTCCAACGACTTAATTGCTCCTCGTAATGCACCCCTTAAACGCTTTTAATTACACGACACTTGCTACCACCTTCCTGCACAATTACTGTACTGTACTATTCTGCAATTGCTCTTTACTTTTATTTCGTTACCATCGTCGTGTTTCATACTTTGTTTCTCTTTTATTCTTTGACACTATTGCTCTGGCTTTATAACTGCTTAAAACTGTTCTTACGTCTGACTCGTTATCCTTGTCACATTGAAAAAATTTTATTAACTTTTTTTTACACGAATATGTATCAAACTCGTTCGACTCCATCATTGATTTCATTGCCTCGCTTCGACTTTCAACTCGTGCAATATTCATTTTTTGTGACCAACAATATCGTCCACTGCTTCTTCGCAACAACTACATTCTCTTTTATCCTTTTTTTTTTATCCAATATTTTCACGTCGTATCGAATTTCTAAACTTCCAAAATCCTTCAAATCTTTATACTTTCGCCAACCGTATTAATGCAAATGATACTCGTCGACTTGGAAAATGACTCGATCCGTCGTGGTTCCTGACGTCGATCATTCGGCGTCCTAATCGGTTTGACTTGAAACGCGGTAACGTGTGCGGTTCCATGCGCAAACTCGCCGTCGAATTCCGTAAATGCGGCACTGTTGTCCGTCCCGACTGACGTGTATTTCGCGTGTAAACGAAACGACACCGCTTTCGCGGGTGTCATCGATACATCGCTGTTCAACCGATCCTCGATTGATCCACTCGTTAATTACCGCGAATCCCCCGGAACTAATCACCATTGCGGCGACACTGTTACGGGTCACCGATCGATCCTCGTTTGCCCGTGTTCCTTCCTTCCGGCCGTTTCTCTGAATTTCGCCCCTCTATTTCCTTTCGTATTTGTTCGCGCCTCCCTTTCATCCGCGTTTCCCTCTGTCTGTTTCCTTTTTTTTAAATTGAAACGTCGCGCCGTTACCTTATTTCACTTACTGTTCATTTCTACTTCGAACAATCATTATCGGACGATGGTTTATTTTGCAAATTTGCTTGCCGATTTCTTTGCAAATTTCTTTGTAAAATGAAAATTTCTCATTCTCTTCGGTAAATTTTACTCTGCACTCTGTTTTTCACTACTGCGACCATTCTTTTGATCAACGGCCTTCCTTTCAACCTTACTTGATTAACACTCTTTACGATGCAAATTGCAATTTGCACTACGCGTCTGACGTAATTCACGCTGTTTGCATTCTGACTTTAATATTTCTTGTTGTATTGTTATTTATACGTGTGACTCTAAAATTGAACCAATTTTTTTTTTTTTTTCTGATACTCGCAACTCTCTTTCTGCTCTCTCCGCTCATTTCTGCAACTTGATCGCAACTTTCTGGTCTTTTAATACGACAGCCTTGTTATTAGGCACCCTGAAGACCTATCAGCGCGCAGCCTGCGACGAGGAGTCGATGACGCTGAAGTGTCCAGTTGGTACCACTATCTCCGTCGTTCTAGCTCAATACGGCAGAGCAGGGTCAAATGGCACCGACAGGTGTAGTTCGTCCGATCCATCCGTGTACATCGGTGACAGACTGACGAATTTGACGTGCATCTGGCCGCAGTCGCTGCAGGTACGTGTCTAGAAGGCAACTTTTCTACTCTAATTCTATCCATTGTACGATTTGAGGAAGGAACCAACCTCTGGCGAGAGGAACGGAGTCTTTTGCATTTTCTTCTTCTCTTCTAGAATAATTAGAAATCGTTTGAAGGAATCAATATACGTATATCTAATTTATAGAGACGCGAAAATATATAGAATGATAAATGGAAATTGGTAAAAACATAAATATAGTAATGGGGAAACTCTGTAATAATGAGAAATTTGCTTGAAGGAATTATTACGTATACTTAATTTATAGAGACGCGATAATATATAGAATAACAACTGAAATAATTAAAAATTGGTAAAAAAACGATTAAAAGATAGAAACAGCAGGAATAATTCTATCTGTACTGTGAATTAATGGAAATTGCGACAATTAATAGAAACTACAGAATCGATAGGGATTACAATAATCTTTAGATAAAAGGAATAATATAGTTATTCAATGCTCTATAAACAATTGCATCCCTCTTGGCGATTTGTTATTTCATTAACACGAACAACAAAATTGATGGACCTATAATAATAATTTTTGAAATAACTTTGCGTAAAATAATGAAAATAATTATTTAATTGCTCCGTAAATAATCGCGTCTCTCTTGAAACTACGTGAAATTTTAATTAAATTCCCCTGTTTATCATTCATCCGAATTTATAATATTTAATGCTTGTAAATAGATAATTTTACATTATCGCATTTACAACGCGTGAAATCAGCTTTACTATTCTGTGTGTGTGAGTGTGTGTGTGTGTGTGTGTGCAATATAATATTAATAGATGATTATTACTACTGCAATGAATCGACTAATATAAGTCATTATTAGCTGAAACGCTACGATAGCATAACAAAACTTTATGGTAAAACAGGATCTAAACTACGATCGGCGCGTGGCTCTCGTCATGAGCGTTACAGTGTTTCGCGTATCAAGTGTTCTATATTATTACTTCCTGCGTGTAACTTGCTAATTAATGTTTGAATTTACCAAGTTTAAATGGTGCTTCAGCATTACTGCTAGAAGTTACGCTCGCTCTTCATCTTTTTTTTTTTTTTTTCATGGGTAATTGAATTTCCGATTGCAAATGCAAATATTTTAGTTGGACAACTGCTAACGACTGGCTAATTTTTGTGCGATTCGCACGATATCTGGAGACGCAAGAAATGCGTATAATGTAAAATATATATAAAAAAAAGTATCCATCGAATGGAAGATTTAATTGTTCAATTACAAGCTTGTGTTTTACACAAAGAACATAGTCAGTTATCAAAAATATACATACACACAGTGAGAATTTTTAAGAGAAATACATTTTTTTAAAATAATTTTAAATAAAAATCTATCGATATATAATTAAGAATAAATTTCGAAACTTTTATAATTGACAGTATTTAATTAGCTGTTGTTTGACAAGGAACATAACTTATTCGTTTATGCTAAAATATTTCCGAAACTTTCGAAACAACTTTATGCAACTTTGTACAAAGACTACTTCATTTCTTTACAAGAAATCTAGAATCGTGAAAATAATCAATAGACATAGTATGGTAAGAAAATAAATGAAATTTCCATGTTCGCCAAAAATTAGTCTCATCTTGTTATCAATTAAATTAATATCAATATTCGGTTGGAAAACAATGTCAAACAATGTCGAGAGATATTATTTTCTTTAACTTTCAAATCTTGCACGTCAAAGTCATACATCCAATTTAAATTTTCTACCAAATGTGAAGTACAAAAGAGTCATTCAACGTCAGGATCAATCACGATTACGCTACGAATCTGTTTGAAATACCTTTTCACATCGATAGTCGACGAGAGTTCGCGGGTCGGTGATCTGAAGGGTATCGACTCGAACGATAGTGAAAGATGGTTCCATTCGCTTTGCAGCGAAGTTGAAAGTCGTGGCTGCGACCTCCGTGTCCGCTCGCGAAACTTCTATCTGCCATCTTGTATTTATCGGTTCCTCGCGAAATCCTGATTTCTAATCCGGCAGTAGGACGCGAACGATCGCGCCCGGCGCAGCGAAATCGAGCTGGAAGAAATCGTAAACTGTATCCACTTTGCCGGGTTAACCATTGCGCGACGACGATTCAACCGTCGTAACTTCTGCTTAGGTTTGTAAGCTCCCGTGCCTTCTCTCCGCGCTTCACCGCCAAAGATTTCCACCGAGAAACCCTTTCAACGTTAAGATTTCAGATCAGACTTTAGTCGAGTCGTGCACTTGCTTGCTATGATCGTTGCAATTCCACGATACTTTTGGCTCTCCTCTTTTCCTACCGTTGGTTCTCCCTTCTCCTTGATCGTCAGTTTGTTTCCCCCCGAGTCTCGAGGATTTCTCGGATTGGTTTCGTTAAGAGCAGCTTTCGTTGAGAGACGTTTCGGGTTGATTTGCAGCGATTTGCTAGCAAACAGTTAATTTAATCGTCGAAAATGTGTAGCGTTTGCGTCGTACGAGGGAATTGTCATTATTGTTATTGGTTTTTATGCAAGCTCGTATTTTTTTTTTCTTTTTTTCTTTTAGAAATATCATAGAAAACGATTTATTTTGTATATATCGATGATTTCTCATTTTATGCGCATCGTATAATGCGAGAGCTTGTTCAAAGTTTAAAATCTCCTACAAGTGCATGAAAATTGCAACGAATACTTTACCCTGACAAATTTTCTGTAGTTTCACAAAATTCATATTATGCTCTCTCGCAAAGGGGAAAGAGAAATAAAATCACGCAGCAATTACTATAAGATAAATAAATAAATAAAAATCGGAATCTCTAATTAGAGTCTCTAATTCATCAGTTCATAAATAATTCACTTTCATCTTTCAGTTCGTAATTGTCGGACTGGAACATTGAAAGTTCTCTGAATAATTTCACGAGAGTTGAGATCATTCAAGTTTCATTATACACGCTCTGAGGTAACTTGATGCGAGAAAATGCTGAAAAATTGCTGCGGCGGATGGAACTGTGTAGGAAACTTAATTAAACGAAACTCGCCGTTGATAACTGAAGAACGGTGCTCGACGGAGGAATTTCAAGAATTCAGAAGAGCATGATTGTTTCTCGTTATCCTGTTCCTTTTTTCTATAGCCGGTAAGCTGGTTCTCCTTAAATCAGCTTACGTCTTGATCGCCTTGTTTACGGAAGTGCGCAGCAACCACTTTAAAAGTTTTAAAGATCACTCGATGGCAAGGGCGTCTTCCGTTTTTAAACTTCGTGGCAAGTCCTATATTCGCTGGAATTCTTGGCTCCCCGTTTGCTTGGGAAAACACGCAACTGCAAAATAATAAATGAACCGAGAAATGTGTCTGCTACTCTGTAGCTTCCATTTCGCGAAAGAAATTTCCTTTTGTTCATCCAAAAGCAGTGTAATATTATAATAAAAAAAAAAAGAGATGTATTATTTAATCACACGAAATTGTTCTCTTTGAATACCAGTGCTGGCGAATTTCTCTATATTTAAGTAACCTGGCAAATGTCATTTCTTCACTTTCAGCTAATAGTAAATCGTTCGTTTCCAAACCTAATTTTCTCGTCGTTCTAAACTTTTGATCATTTCTCGTCGGAATAAAAATTCGAAGAGAAGAAATTCAACTGTGAAATGTTTGAGAAAATTCTTGAGTAACCCACGGTACGTTGTACGATCGTCTGTCGAGTGGGTTATCGAAAAATTTTTCAATAAAAAACAGACATTCGAAGGGTAGAATTTGAAGAGTGTGACTTGATTTCCTCAGAAAGAGCGAATTGTTTCTCCGTGTTGCAGACCGTGCAAAATGTCTTCTCTCGTAATTAACCTTCACATCGTTATTCCGTCTAATCAAGATTCTTCGCGAGTGGACGATGCAAATTCAACGATATGAATTTTCCATGCCTGCGCACAGTATCGTTCGTTTCGTCGTACTGCGGAAAGAGTCGCGTTCGAAGCTGCATTTCCTTCCTCCTCCCTCTCGAATAAGTTGGCCGCTGACACGCTCGACGAAATAACGGAGTGTCGTTTTCAGGTCAGTTGCCATTATCTTTTCGACGGTGGATTAAATGGCGGCCATCTCCTCGCGCCTCTTCTCGCCTCGCTCGTTCGACCCGACTCCGCTCTGTTTCGCTGCCCGCGAACGAGAGACTCGCGATTACCAGTGAATTTCCACGGGAAACCAGCCACGTATCCGCCGCGTTCTCCACTTTCGACCTGTAATCGAGTAGACTTCTGGTCTTCTTTCGCGGTTTCTTTCGCCGACCGAAACGAAACCGGGAAATTGCATTTTCGACGAGACTTCGCGTCTCCGTCTCCAATTTCGTTCAACAAGCCAACGTTTACTCGTTTCTATAATTCTGTCTGAGTAGTACGAGTTATGGAAATTCTGTCTTCATTTGAATTGAACTAATTTATTCGTTTCATTTCTATTTTAATCACCCACCTACTTTCTTTTGGTATTTCTATATTTTTTTAATTGTTTTTTTTTTTCATTTCTTTCAACAATGTTTTTAGTTCCTAGTGAAAATATCGCATACAGAGTCGCACGAAGTTTCCAGTTCTTGACAGTTTACACCGACATCGTTAAACAGTTGCAACCTTTCGATTGTCTACGTGAGAGTTGAATTAATTTCCAGAATTAACTAGTCGCAGACTCATTCTGAAACAGTATGTAGTCTAGAAGGTGTTTCGTCCCCCAGTGTATTTCCATCGGGTATTATTTCAGTTTGGCGAGGCAGCGTCGTCGATCTCAAACGGGCGAACGGAAAATTTCCGTGGTTAGCCAGTTACGAGGATTAATTTGTAGCTTGGTTTACGTAACAGAGATTAGCAAGACGGAACAGAATACCAGGTTTTGCAGTCGCTTGCAAAATCCTGTTTGTTTCCGTGCAATTAACTGTAGCGCGGAACGAAATTCACGCGAGGGGGTTGCAGCCGCGTCCGATTTGCTTCCGACTTTGAGCGGAATAAATTCTACAGAGTGTACTGGTCCACCGAGCAATTA